TCACCCGAATAACGACCAAGCCTCACCGAATCCTCCATCAGCTGAAGCCCTTCCCCGCCCTTGACGTCTTTTCAAACTAGCCACGTTTACTGTGCATACTCTGATGCGTATAGGACGACAGGCGCGTTTAGCTTGTACGCTCGAAACCCTAGCCATCGATGTGTGTTGCATCCACGAAACTCGCATTCAAGACTCCAGCTCCATTATCCGATCCGCAAAGTTTCACTAACGCCTCTCTGAGGACCCTGAGACTGCGGATTCCGGTCTTGCTGGCGTCGGCATAGTTCTCAGTGAGAGAGCCCAGACCACCCTCCTGGCTTAATCCCAGTCGACAGTAGGTTGTATGCAGAGAGACTCAGAGGTTCGTGCAAGGCAAGCAACCGTCGCCACGATAGACGAAACTTATTTGTCGTATCGGCATACGCTCCAACGCACTGCAGCTCAAATGCAGTCAAAGATGAATTTTACCACAATCTACACTACCTGTTGCGTAAGGCGACCCGGGCTGATATCGTGATTTTAGCAGGAAACATGAATGCTAGAGTAGGTCGACTGACCTCGAGCGAGGCACATCTGGGAGGTTCTTTCGGATTAGGTTCCTGTCGCTTGGAAAACAGGTAACGGCTGTTGGCCCTGTGTTCCGATCACCACCACCACCTATTCCTCGCAAGTACGAACTTCAGACGCTCCAACTGCCGGTACGACACTTGGCATCCGCCCTCCACGAGTCAGAGACGGACGCAGATCGACCAAATCGCTAACAGCCACAAATGGTGGGGCTGCATAAAAGACTGACGATCGTACCGGAGCACTCCCCTCGAATGCGACAACGCATTGGTTTGCACCAAGCTGTTCATGTGCTTAGGTTCAAACGCACGAGACAACGACGCGCAGACTGTGATAAGCTGTCAAAACCAGCTTGTCTAGCTGTCTTCCAAAACGCGCTAGCTGAAAAGCTAGAACCAACCTCACCGGACGACACTTACCAACACTGGTCGCTTATCAAGAATGCTCTGCATTCTGCTGACTTAGTTAGTTGTGGTCTGACACGTCGAGCCGTGACAATCTAGATCTCTGTGGACTCTATACGCCTTCTCGACGGACGCCGATCAATCCCGACCGGGAGCGAGTATAATGAAACACGACTCGCAACGAGATATGAACTTAACACAAGCCTGCACAGAGACCGCCAAATCTGGTGAACTCAACGCGCGTCAGAGATGGAACGTGCTGCTGCAATGGGTCATTCCCGTAAGCTGTTCCATCTCATCCGGGTCACCGGTAGGAAAGCCTTGGGTGAGCGGAACCATCTGCGAATTTGACGGTTCACCCATTCGTAATCAACAGTGAAGCATTGCACGCTGGGTGAACCACTTTGAGGCACAGTTTAGCTGGCTTCTAGCGTCGGCCTCTCACACAGCTATTTCGGTACACGTCCCATGGTCTGTCTCAACAGACTCACCTTCTGAAGCAGAAATCCATAAGGAGATCCAAGCCTTGGGACGTCACAAAGCGCCGGGCTCCGATGGTCTTTCCTCATCCCTATTTAAGGATGGTAG